TTTCTATAGGTGGTGGAGTTCTAAAGAACCAACTCCCTAAGGTGTCAAAGGCTAAAGGATCTTTAAAAGCACAACCAAAATGATAAAGAGTTCACTGGACAAGATCGACTCTAAGACCGAGTCTGAGATCGAGTCCAAGACTGACACCAAGACCGAGTTTGAGACCGAGATTGAGACCAAGACCGAGATTGAGTCTAAGATCTGAGATTGGGTCCGAGACCGAGTCCGAGATCGAGTCCGAGATCGAGTTCGAGACAGAGTCCGAGGTCAGGTTCGAGATCGAGTCTGAGACCGAGTCCAAGGTCTAGTCTAAAATTGAGTCTGACACCGAGTCCAAATACTAATACAAGTCATAGGGTGAAAACACAAAGCATGTGTCTCTCAAGGGGGGAGGCAGGGGGATGCAGGGGGTTCCAAAAGTATAGTAGGGATAATGAGATCTAGGAACCAGTCTTGAAGGAACTCTTTAATAATGCTTCCAAATTAACTTGAGGTTGAGACTAGGGCTTAGGGGCCTTGGGTGGGAATGAGCATGGACTCGGGTGGTGCTGGAGGGGCCACCCAAAGAAGTGCTCAAAAGCAATTCCCACTCTAAGTAGGGAAACCAATTGTGGTGTTCTCGGCTCATGTGGAGTGATGCCCATTTAAGTACCTTCCTAGAGGCTTGGGCCTTCCCTTCAAGATAGAAGTGGAGGAGTAGAAGTACCTATACTAGGCCATTAGGCCATGATGTTTCGCTCTGATGCCCCGAAGTAAGTGTTACACTCAAGCCTTGGGATTTAAAGGGTCTCATGATCAAGTTTTGTTGTACTAAAGGATGTTAGGAACTTGGAGGCTTGGTGTGCTTGGTTGCTTGTGCTTACGGGGTGAGTAGTATTCAGACCCTTTAGGTTCGATTCCACCTCCCCGGAGGCGCTTGCGACAGAACTCGCCAAGCCGCTGAGGTCCGGGGATCGTCCAATCCCTTGCTGATGGCGTGCGTTCTTGACACCGAGCGGCAGCTTGCACCGCCTTGCGAGGGAAAACACATAATGCCCAGGCCGTGGTGGTTGGATAAACTAAATAAGCTAACAAATTGAAAAGGAAACATTTATGGTTTACATGTTGATGATGATTAATATTTTGGTTTGTTGATAATGATGTTATCCTTGTAAGCAAGATGTCCATGATTTGATGAAAAAAGTGACTATTCAAGGTTAAATGTAACAATGGCTAAAATTTTGGCTTTGTTGATAACGATCCCATCCTTCCAAATAAGGTGTCTAAATAAGACTTTTGATTTAATGAAGAAAAAATGCATTTTTCAAGATTGAGTGTGATGATGGCTAAAGTTTTTGTTTTGCTGATGAGGATGCCAAATGAAATATCAAATTTCTTTTTGTACCCAATAACAATGGTCTATATAAAAACCTTGACCTCAAATTTTGCTCATTAAATATTTATAGTATATAATTTTTATTTAAAGTTGGACTTCTAATTTGACGAAGAAAGTGCATTTTTCAAAATTGAGTGTGACATTATTTTGTATGCACTTAAAGAAACATTTCTCTAAGTGTTAGTGTTTAGGCCAAAAAAGCTAAAATCAGCTATGAAGATACATATAAAGTATAAAATATTATTTAAAAGTGTTAGCTATGAAAAGTGAATGGAACTTTCATTAACTAGAAGGGCATGCAAAAATATGCATAGGACTGATGAATAAAGTTTTGTATTGGTCTTTAGGAGTAATATGAATTTGATTATAGCCTAAAAATCTGTTGAAGAAAAAGTATATCTCTTGCCTAGCTACAACATCAAGTATTTTATCAAAGAAAGAGATTGTGGATACATCTTTCTTTGTGGCACTATTGAGTTTCTTATACCTATTTCAATTTTAAAGATTTTCATTTTTCTTTGGGACAATGACTAATAGAGTGAGCCATTGTACTGTATATCAAATAAATGAAGCCCACATTTTAAAATTTGGGAATTTCTTGTTTAACTGGAGCTACAAAGTTTGGATTCATGTGATATATTTTTGGGTACTACTTAAAAAAAAGCTTGATGCGATGCATATAATATTCTAGTGGTACTCTATGTAAATCCTAGTATGACCATGTAAAGATATTTTTGTATTAGCTAAATAGCTCAATTACTTTTTTTCTGAATGTTTATCGAGGTCTTTAGCTATGATGAGCTTTTGTGGATTATCATAGGTGCCTAAGTTAATTTCTTCAGTCAATTTATCAAGAGTAATGGACCGAATTAATCAATTTGTTTGGTGAATGTTAGTTTTTCATCAAGGTAGATATATTGTTTGGTTGGTTGTAGTTGTTCTAGTTTGATAGCTGGACAATCATGTTGCTTTTGTATTTTTGCAAAGTGTGTTTTTTATTAGAGATGGTTCATTTGTGTTTTTCTTAAGTTCTTTTTCTTAAATGGTATTTTCAAGTTTACAGTCTTGATTTAATTTTAAATATTGAGTCTTGATTGGTATTTCTAACTTTACAATCTTGACTTCTATAGTTAGATTTAGGATCAAGTGGGGATATTAATCTTTATTGAGTGGTTTGAGCTCTAGCAAAGTTTTAAGAAGTTGAGTTTTTCATAATTTTTAGTCCTTTACACCAATTTTAATGCTCTCTTTTTGTAGAATGGTAATATGTTTCACTAGTAATGTTGAGATTTGTGTTCATCTTTTATATTATTTAAAAGAATTTTTTTTTAAATGGTATTAAATAAATGTAGTAACTTTAAGCTATGTTAGCTTAACAGATCTTATATGTAGTTCGTCTTTGTCATTTAAGGACAACAAATTATCTGTATCATACTCTCACTTGATAGA